GGAGGAAATCCTAGGCAGTTTGGACTCCTTGTTTCAATCCCATGGGGCGCGAAGAGCCACCGAACCCCGATTGGAGGTGTTCCCAGCGGAGGATGAGGTCTCTCCCACCTCGGAGGGGATTTTTGGTTCAACTACAATGAAGACTGGCTCCGTCCATATCGGGTCGCGATCGGCATTGATCGACATCTTGGATAAGTCGAAGAACTCGGAGGATACGGCACAGGCGTTACCAAAGGAGGACCTTCTCGCGGAACTGGCCATGGGGAATGAATCCGCCGCGTATCCGTTCGTAGATCTTTGGTCGTCCGACCCTTATACATTCAACATCGCCGGCGTGTGTAGCGTGCTACCCGACGACGAACAATGCCGAAAGTAAGTGCCCGGCCCCTGTAACCCGTGTTGTGGGTTGAAATGACTGACGGGTCCGGCTACCTAGACTGTTGAGATTCTATATAGACGTTGGTTCCGTGCTTTATCCGGTGCTGCCGGATGTTGCAAGACTTGAGGACAATATGGAGCGCCTGTTGCGAGGCCGACAAGCTGTTGGTGGTGTATATCGACCGGATGCTAACGGTCTTGTTAAGCCGTTTGGCATGAGTGTATCTTTCCTGAGTCTTCTCTTTGCTGTTCTAGCCTCGGGCTGTCAATTGTCCGACTTACCAGGCAAGGAACGCGAATTGACCTCGTGGGTATATGGTTCGTACAGCCTCCACCTCTCTGCTGTGACATGACTGATCGACTATAGTATCATGTGCTTATCATTGCTTGCGCATGTTGAATTATGTATCCCAGCCGACCGTAGAAATCATTCAAATCTTGCTGGTCATCGGGAGCGTCCTCTCCTACAACATGAATGCAGGAGCTTCGTACACATTGCTTGGTGAGTACTGTTTCTGCCGTGTCAATTTCTCGACGAAAGCTGACTGTGATTTATAGGAATGACCGAGCGCATGTGTATGGTGCTGGGTCTGCATGTCGAGACTGCGGGTTATTCACGGGCTGTGCAAGCGGCACGGAGAAGAGTCTGGTAAGGCGTGGTTACCGATTTGCGAGAAACAGACAGCAATACTCACACATGAGAGTAGGTGGGCGATGGCTTTTCAGAACAGCCATTTTTCCCTGGCGTACGATCGACCCTCTATCACCATGATCAGCCAGCCCGAGATTCCGTACGATCCCAAATCCATGCCCGGTCACCGGGGTTACTTTGAGACGCTGTGCCGCATCATCTCCGTTATCCTCGAGATGTTGCGGAATCTCATGTTCACCCATCATAGCCACCTCCGGTACCATGAAATCCGGGAGTTCAAGCAACGTATTGAACGGATCCTGGCTGAGGCAGCACCACACCTGCGATTCGAAGAACGCTGTACCACGCTGGCGGAGCATATTGAACGGACCGAGCTGCGACTGCATTCCTCGTATTTCATATCATTCATGTGCAGAGTATCACTGGATCCGGATGCACACATGGATGAGCAGCGGCGAGAGATTATCAAGGAGGATTGCTTGACCAATCTGAGCAACACGATCCAGGCATTCATTGAACTGCATTCGATCAACGCGCATGCGTCCCGCACATGGATAAGCCTGCAACGGACGATCGCGTCAGCTTTCCTCTTGGTAGCCAACAATAATGAGCGATTGCACCCGCACACGTGGGATCTTATCCAGAGACTGGAGGCGGTTTTGTCCGACCATGTGCATGGCGATGGCGAAGCTGATCGAAACAACCGTACTGATTCGGCGAAACATCTCGCCTCATCGCTCCGTGCCCTGCGGGAAGTCAGTGCCGCATTCCGTGCACACAGCAAGAAGCAGAACATGCTATCGGTCCCGGAAACTGCAACGACCACCCCGAACCTATCTCCGGCCACAGTCTTCGCTTCCCCGTCGCCGGCAGGGCTTGCCTCTGTGGCTGTTCCTGTTCCTGTTCCTCCGACCTATAGCGCGCCGCCCCAAGATGGACATATTGACAATATTCTCAACCGGGTTTCGGATGTAATGCTTTTCCCCAACATGAGTACGGGGAACGCTTGAAATAATTGGGCCACTGCGCGAGATTCGCGAGAGTCTCGAGCAACCTGCAGCCAAATCTCCCCGTCGTGGAGTCATCGATTGATTCTGATCTGTCCCGTTTGGATAATCCCGTAAGGGGGCGCTCCCACGCCGTGGGAAAGCGATCGGTATGTCTGAGAATCAATCGATACTGATCATAATTGATCGGTCACAGAAGCAAGATTGATTGCTATGTGCCCATCGCGTCACTTGCCCCTGCTGTCTCACGGATCGAAGCCTTGGTGAGCATGAGCAGAGGGGATGGCATGTGTGTCTTCCATTCTGGCTGGAACCTGGGCGATTGCCTCGGAGAGGATTCGCCAACTTGCGAGTAGTTAGAGGGGCGGAGGAGGAAACTAGGAGGGAGGAGCGAGCCGGACATCGGCGGGTACTTGTAGTAATTTGAAGATAGCCAGCCCCCAGTCACGAGTATTTCCGTGCGGGAGGGCGTCCGTGTGCAGTGGCTAGTGGTCCCTTCCTTCCATTCTCCCCCTCCCACTTCGGTTCGTGTCTGCCTCCTGGACATTTGCATTGTGTTCCATGTTGTTTGTCGGTCTACCTTACCACTTTCTTAATTTTTCTTTTTCTTTTTCTTTTCCCCCTGTCCCTTTGTTTCAAGTACGGATCCGGGATTAGGCAGGCAGTGTCTGGCCGGCCGAGTATTAACCGCTTCGGCCGAACTCAGAGATCATCGCCCGATGTCTGATTCCGACCAAAAGGAATGAACGACTGCAAACTTTGGAAGGAGATGTAGCTTGCCAGGTGGAGCGAATTGGTTCTTAGATTCTCATCACCGTCTGCTGCAGGAAGAACTGGAATGCAGGCCTTCTTCCCCCTTTTTCTCCTCCCATCCCATTTTATTGAAGGGGGAATTAGTCTTGAAGCATATCCTGCCAATAATTATGACAATCATTGCGACGATCAGTCCAATGAGTTAGGGCGGTGCCACGGCGGCGGCGGCGACGGCGACGGGTTTACCGTCCGCAAGAGGCCAACCGGCCGGGGACTGAGGCATTTTACTCGTACAGCACCTACCTAGTGACTGGACGCAGCATCTCACAACAATGACGGTCGGTGGTGGTGATGCAGATGAGTACGGAGGAGTACGTGGTAGGGAATGTGCACAAACCAAGCGATGAGAAAGGGCTAGAGATGGCCCTCGCCTTTTGTCTCCATAATTAATCTTCTGAACTTCCACCTGCGGAGACATTCCCTCTTGTCTTCCACGTGCTCCAATCCATATTCAGTACGGAGTAGTTACTTTGTGGAAAAAGGATGATGACTCCATTCTTACCGGCCGAAGCGGCCGCACGCCCCCCCCCCCTCGGAGACATCCGGCGATAACTCAAAGTAGTTTACCTCCGACCGAACCTTGAAGAGAAGCTAGTTAGCTGGTTCAAAGACGGTCGCAACGGTCGACCAACGCTCATCTCCTCATTCTTCAATTCTACCTTAGGTACGGAGTACCTAGACTTCAGACTAGTCCATTTCTTGTTGCACGGATGTTGTACGGTGGTTATCTCCGCGGGGTTGAGTTTCTATCTTGGTATCTTGTCTCTATACTGAGTACAGCACTATTAGAGTTGAGGAGAGGGGGGGGCACAACACTCGGAGATAAGTTGTCTCTGGCCGTTGGATGTTTTTTTTCTCGGATCCGAGGCTGTCTGCAGTGGGTGTCTGGCCTGATCCGATCGATTGATTGAAACCTGGATCCCTTAGCCACTCGCTGGAGTAAAGATTTATTGGTAGGGTTAGAGTGTGTTATGGAATGCAAAGGTATTTAAACTTTGGGTTTTTAAAGGGTGAGGGGCTGGCTGGCTGGCTGGCCGGCCCTTTCTATGGGTGGAGTTTGGAACTAGTTTGCCTACTAACTTCCAAGTTGCTTAAGTATTGAGTAGGTACGGAGTACCTCAAATTATCGAATCTTGGTCTTGGCTCGGGTTCTTTTGTGTCTGCATGTACCGAGTAAACCTGGGGACTTGGGGACTCTACTTGGGGGTGGAGGGTGCAGTTGCTCGCGAGTGTTTGGGTGACTTTGCGAGAGAACTGAGTACCGTACGAGGTTGGTCGTGATTCAGAACCTCAGCAAGTGGAAGTTCAAGTCGACATGCGCGTCATATGCTCTAAGTTACTTCGGGGTCTGGATACTCTTTCCTCCCCTCTTGCGAGGGGTTGCCAGATCCCGGATGAGGGTTTACCTGTAGTTATAGTCTGCTGCAGTGCAGGTAGGTAGCTGCATCAATTGACTGGATGGATGTTTCTGCCTTTCCTCGGGCACGAATTACATGGAACTGCCAGTGATTCGGTAGATGATGGATGTTCGAACGAACGGACAAGACGATCATGCCATTGTTCCCCAACCCCCAATCCCCAATCTCTCCCCAGACAAGGATTGAGATCCCTGAACCATTAGAGTTGGGAGGTGACGGTAAGGCTGGATTGGATAATGTGGCATGTTCTCTGATGTGGCTGCTGCAGGTGCTGCCTGGGGAGTACCGAGTAGTCAAGGGGTGACACTATAGCTTATCTAAATTCTACTTGGTAAGGACTGTAGTCTTTAACGCACGATGGCCGTTGTGGTGCGGCGCCCGCTGCGGTTGTGGTTTGCGGGTTGCGGGTTGTTTGGGACCGGCTCGGGAGTACTTACCCTGTTTTTGTTTAATTTTCCTGGGAAAAGAAACTGCTGAGGTGCTCTCGTCTCGAGGGTACACTTCTCACCATACATCTCTGCGTATGTTCCTTGCGCTGCAGTTGCTACCTAGTGCCCAGTCGCAGTTCGTTGTTCATACTAACCAAAGGGTACGCAGAAGCGAAATGCCCTGGGGGGTATCTCCTCTGACGGCGGGAAAATATGCATGCACATAGTAACAATCAGTAGTACAGCAACCTTCGACATCCACCATTCCCCAACACGAAACCATCTCATAACTTAGCGCATAAAGAAAGCCAAGAGGCCAACCAAATCCTTGATCTGGCCATCATGGTCGATTAAGGGGAAACAAGGCTGGACGGCCTTGAATGGCTGATCCATCGAAAAGCTCGGAGACCTGGGGTAAACGCGCCGAACAATCCAAGGAGAAACACCGTATGATCCTCTGCCTCCTCCCTCCATCTTGTGCTATACGTCTATACTACGAGCCGGTACTTCGGCCGAAGGGTTCAACCTTCGGATGCGTGAATGGGTTCGCTCGGATGCGAGGAGCATTGAGGAGATGGGTTTATCTCGGATGCGAAGGGGTTCAACTTGTTCAACCCTCTTACTTCTTCTTGGATGGAATGATGTGCATGAGCGGTGGTGATTTGTTGGAGGATGGGATTCGGGTCTATGCTGTGGTTGGCCTCGGATATACTCTGTACTTGGTGGTGGAGGGTTGAACCCCTTTGTTTCTCTTCGGCGCTGGCGGGGATGAAGATGACGTAGGAGAGACGGAGGCAGGAATGAATGGTATCTTCTTGGCTTGCTGTAGATGGAGGTAGGGTGGGAAAGAGATTATCCTTTGGTTTAGAGTATCGAGTCAGGGTGTGGGAGGGTTGGCACTTGCATGGGGTGTTTGGGATGGCTGTGTTGGGATCTAGTATGAAGTAGCATCGGTCCATATCCTGGATGAAACCTAGAGGCTTCGAACTTGCGAAGATTACTCCGGTAATCATGTTTGTTTTCTTGCGCCGAGGCATGCTCTGGACTGGTTGTGTGTGTATAGGCAGTGGTTGACTACCTTGTGAACGCGCCAGGATTCTTGAGCATCAAGAGGAGGAGCAGATAAGCGGCCTGCCCAGCTAGATGTTGGCCTGCTCTTTACTCGGCATTTCGTGCTGCCTGCGACTCTAGCTTTGGTGCATTCTGCGAAATTTGCTGGCCACTGGGCAGGTACTCAGAGATCTATGCCTCACTATGCAATCTGGTCGACTTGACCTCAACGGGGCCATCCATGCTTGTTGAAGTCACATATGCCAGGCTAGCATAATCAATGCGGATAAGAAGCTAGAACCAGACACTCCAAGCTCTCGTTGCTAAGATTAACAACTAACTGTCTCCTATCCAGGATAGGGTACCTCGCTTGCCCATTTGCAACGAGATACCCCCAGATCCGAACAGCGCCCATAATGGAAACCGAATATCTAAATGCTTCATTCTGTCATCAAGAGGCTAGCCACAGCCCCGCGAGGGTGAGCTCTGAACAGGATACACGATCTTTGGTCTGAGGAGTTAGGGCGATTTCTGAGTTGAAGGCTTTTGAGACGAAGTGGCGAGCGTGAGATCTCGATACAGGCGAGGGTGAAATCGACACTGGGGTCTGAGGTGAGACGCTAGAGTTGCCTGCCTTACAGACGTCGGAGGCAATATACATCTGCCAAAAACGTCGAAGTCTGGGTCGCACAGAGGTGGCTCAGCCCGATAACAGGTTTCTTGCTGTTGGACATGCCGATGAGCTTCAACTATTCACAAACAATCTTGAAATGATCTGGTGGGCCTAACCGCAACGCTACACGAGAGTTCTGGACGCATTCACCTATTCCAGCAATGAGGATGGCTGCCTGAGGGTGCAAAGTGTGGGATAGCCGAGAGTCATCTGCTTGCTCGCTTACTTCCTTTTCCTACCACCTTCAGCTTGACTACATTCTCTTCGTCACACATTAGGACGCCTCTGGAGGACTTACTGTCGCACTCTGTGCGCGATATTCTGGGTTCAGCTCTCTTTCAAGTTCATTCTCTGCCTTTGTGATAATTGCTTGGGTTGCCTAAGTTGGTTGTCGCTTATAGGCTGGAGATAACTACCCCTCATCCCTGCTACTCAGATTCGGAGACGCTGCACCTGTCACCTCGCTTAGATCTGCTACCATGGTGAGCAGCTATTCTGCCATACATTTCGAGATGGTACCGAGTCGGTTTTAGTTTGGTGCTAATGCATGGTGCTAAGTATAGGAACTTGACGATACCACAGCTGCATCGCATCAGAAGAGAGATGAACGGCCTAATCGGAAGGTCCAGCGATCACAGTCTGCATCGAAAACTGGCATACTATGCAATTCCACCTAGCCTCGAGGTGTTGTTGAAAGATGTCTATCATGTACCATAAACAACGCCCACGCTGTTGAACGATTACATTCCAAAACTTCATCATTGCCATGACTCAATGCTTCCATTGCTCTGCAGCGTGGATCTGTCATATACCTGCGTATCCTCTGACTCTCCTTGAAGTCATCCAGAAACTGCCTACCCCGCAGGGTCTATCAACGCGGGACGCGATAAACCCCATTCTTGACGACTGACTCGGATTCGCTGGAGATAATCGCAAACCCTTCCGATCTCATCCTCATATACAGGGCACGGTCGCGCCAAGTTTCTGTCAAGCCCAACCAAATTGAGGGATATCACGACGGGCTCGATGTATGGCCTTCGGGACTCAAGCTATATCCCTATATCTACTGATATCATATGCATCATTTACACCACCGCCTGTACCTTCTGGTTCAGGAAAGTCCAACAGCAAGCTGACGCGATGTACCCGACGGGCTTGTGGTCCCAACAATAGGAGAGTGACGAGAATGGCCAACAATACTCTCCGATATCAGCTCAGATAATACTACTCCTGGTGAGATTGTAGCCTAGCTAGTTCCGAACAGCGCGAATGTGACAAATATAAAGCCATAACGATGGCATTGTATCTCGTCTCACAACTGTCAGTGCTTTCTGCATCGTTGGACAACATGAGGCTGACGATTTCCGTGGCAGCAATTGCCTCATGGCTCCTTCTGTCATGCTTGATAGGGGATGTTCTAGCTCATCCGAAACCCGACCCCAAGACCGCATGGGTGCGTCAAGGTCGTGGGAGGAAGAGTTCCCCGCGTAACCTGCAAGCCCGTTCGTCTATGTTCTCGTCCTCTTGCGTCGACAAGAACGCAACTGTGATCAAAGCGCCGAGGCATAATGTTTGGGAAGGGTTGACGGACGATGAGACAGCATCCGTGGTCAAGTGGCTCTTCCAGCAAACAGCTCTAAACCTGACTGTAACGGAGGATGCCGGAGAGTGGGATAACACAATGTAAACCCTATCTTTCTGATCACTGCTTGGTTGCTAACAGGACCAGTGAGCTCGTCGAGCTGATGCGGCCTAACAAGACGGATGTCTTGAGCTATCTCGATCACCAAGGCCCGGCACCCAGCCGTTATGCGCATGTCGTCCTTGACAACCGCGCCACTACTGCTCCTCATTATGCTGATCTTCTGGTCGGGCCTCTACCCATCACCAATCAATCCACCCCTACGTGGGCGCCACTAGAGTATCCTTACACGCGCAAGACCCACGGCCGTGTGCGCAATCTCGACGCTGACTATAGCACCATCTACTCTGAGTGGCTGTATAAGATTAGCGCATCCATTGCAGATATCACTCTAGACCTGTTCAATGGGACTGCACTGGGCTTAGACAACGACACCCTGGACGTATGGGGCATCGACCCCCTCTGGCAGGATGACGGCCGGATCATCCGCTGGGACACATTCTGGAACATGCCAACGGATGAGTTCGACACCGGCAGCATCCTGCCGCTGGGACTATTCTTCAAGTCCGACGTGACTGGGCGTGATCCTTCTCAGTGGAAGCTTGAGGGCTGGCTTTACAATGACGTCTTCTACGAAACGACCGAGGCATTCCGCAATGCATTTTTCTCACCTGGATTCGTCAAACTGAAGCCCAACGTCGAAGGACCATGGGCACAGACGGATCAACGGGGCCCCATACTTCCACAAGACAAGCAGCAACCTCCTCTCATGGTAGCGCCGTCAGGAGCACGGTACTCTGTGGACCTTGACCGCAAATACGTGACATGGATGGACTTCTCGTTTTATATCAGCTTCTCGCGTGACACGGGAGTATCCGTTTTTGATATCCGCTACAAGGGTCAGCGCGTGCTGTACGAGTTGGGTCTACAGGAGGCACTCGCCCACTATGCTGGCAACGATCCAATACAATCCAGCGTCGCGTATCTGGACTCGTACTACGGATTTGGGCCGTATGCCTTTGAGCTAGTCAAAGGCTACGACTGCCCGGTCTATGCAACCTACCTCAACAGCTCCTTCTACGTCTCCGAGACAACGCACACGCACATTGACAGTCTCTGTGTGTTTGAGTACGATGCAGACTACCCCATCCAGCGCCACAGCACGTCCGACTACGTGAGCAGTACGAAGAACGTGTACCTCACCCTCCGATCCGTGTCCACGATTGGCAACTACGACTATATGACCAGGTGAGTCAAGCCCACAACACGCATGAACCACCCCCCTCATTGACTGTACCTCTAGCTACACCTTCCACATGGATGGCACGATTGGCGTCGAAGTGCGCGCCTCCGGCTACATCCAAGCCGCGTACTACGCGCACAACGAAGACTTCGGCTACCGCATCCACGATGCGTTGTCCGGCAGCATGCACGACCACGTCCTCAACTTCAAAGCCGACTTCGACATCCTGGGCGTGAACAACAGCATCGAGCTCACCACGGTCGCGCCGGTCACGCGCAACTTCACCTGGTCCGGCGGCCGCTCGCGCAACACCATGGCCCTGGAGCGGTCGATTCTCTCGTCCGAAGACGAAGGCCGCTTCAACTGGGGGCCCAACGGGGCGACGATGGTCCACGTGATCAACCAGGACGCCCGCAACCAGTACGGCGAGTACCGGGGCTACCGCGTGCTGCCGGCGGCGGGGACGGCGCACCTGACCGTCCAGGACTCCAGCAACCTGGCGCACGCCGCGCACTGGGCCGAGTACGACATCCAGGTCACGCGGCAGCACGACCACGAGCCGCGCGCCGCGCACGCCTACAACAGCCAGGACATCCACGACCCGCCCGTCAACTTCGCCGAGTTCTTCGACGGCGAGTCGCTGGACCAGACCGATCTGGTCGTGTGGCTGAATCTGGGGATGCACCACGTCCCGCACACGGGCGACCTGCCCAACACGGTGTTCACGACGGCGCACTCGGGCGTGCAGTTCACGCCGCTGAATTATCTGCTGGGGGACCCGAGCCGGCAGACGGTGAACATGGTGCGGGTCAACTATGCGAATGGGTCGGCGACGGAGGTGAAGACGTTCGGGCAGGAGGAGGAGGTCTGTTCGGTGCAGCTTACTGGCATCGGGGAGGAGCTGTGGCGGTATCAGGGGGATGTGGTGGTGCGCAAGTTTCCGTACGACCCGAATGATCCGTACTATGAGATGGAGGCGGACGCATGATGCATTTGTAGATACTTGGGGTAAAGTCACATGCTGGCGGAGATCCTGTTCAAGATCAATCTCTTGCCATTGCGTCCTTACCTACTGTTAAACCGACACTCGCTTATCGCGGCCATGTTCATGCTAGCGCAACGATCGCATGGGCGAATCTGCCGAGGTCTATGAAAGGTACATACGACTGGACATTCCCCAGACCCAAGTCCAAATCTCCATCCCTATGGTCCAATTGAAAACAAGACCGAAGTACGGAGTACGTAGGCCGATGTCATGGTGTGATGTGCAGGTGCGGGGAAATCACCACCTACTAGTATCCATGATGGAGTTCCCGAGAGAGCGAGGGATCTGTTTCTATCTCCGGCCACCGGTCTTGATCCCCCTCGTCCCCATGATTTCAATCTGTAGAATCTTGAACCATACCACGTTCCTTCTGCTCAAACAAGAATACTTACGTTCCAGATAACCACCTCGACCACCAAACATCCACCACACCATATCATCAAAGTTGGGGGGGGGGGGGGTCACTTCACGCCCCGAAAGATGAAGTACTTTAGCCCTGCACTAGCCGCGGGAATTTCCACTCCTCTCCTCGCCCATCCTCGGAGAAGGGTGGAAGGTTAATATGTAAGCCGATGTAATTTAGTTAGTGATCTGCTTTCCAACCACCTCGCAGTGAAACTGAAACGATGCCCAGTACCGTATTCTAGCTGAGTAGCTGAAGCCAGTGCGGGGTTTCTGGCCCTCCCAATTCTAGCCGATGTGACGGGACAGCGAAGAACAGGGATCCTTTATCCCGTAGCCAGTCGGAATTCAGACACCCTTTCAAGATCGCCACATAAGCAAAGAGGGGGAGGCGTTGCTTCATATTTGCTTTTTGCGTTTGCGTTTGCGTTTGCCTGTCCTTCTTTCTCCGAATGTGACGATTGACAGGGCAGGCAGGGGTGGGGAGAGTGGTATATAAGAGAAGGCATAAGCATCCAGCCGAGCTTACCTGCCCACATACTGTACATACTGTGCATGTACATACCCAGCCAACTGAACCCCCCCCTCCAAGAGAGCGCAACCAAGAACCCCCATCACCATGCCCCAAGACCAAGCCCAAGACCCCCACCCACCCCAACACACCGACCTCGACCTCGACGCCCTCGTCGTCGGCACAGGCTTCGCCGGCATCTACGCCCTGCACGCGCTCCTCCAAGACGGGCTGCGCGTGGCGGCGATCGACAAGGCGGGCGACGTCGGCGGCACCTGGTACTGGAACCGGTACCCGGGGGCGCTGAGCGACACGTGGAGCTATCTGTACCGGTACAGCTTCGACGCGGCGCTGCTGCGCGCGTACCCGGCGCCGAACCGGTACTCGACGCAGCCGGAGGTGCTGGCGTACCTGCGGCATGTGGTGGCGCGGTACGATCTGCGGCGGCACATGCGGTTTGAGACGGCGATGGAGGGGGCGGAGTGGGACGATGCTGCCAAGCGGTGGAGGGTGAGGTGTCGGGGCCGGTGTCGAGACATCGGGACGAAGCAAGGTGACAGTGAAAAGGAGGGGGAGGTGCACTACACCTACACGGTGCGGTATCTCGTGACGGCGCTGGGGCTGCTGACCGAGCCCGTGCTGCCGGACATCCCCGGGCTGAAGGAGGGAGCCTTCCAGGGCCAGGTCGTGCACACGGCGGCCTGGGACCCGGCCGTCTCGGTGGCGGGGAAGCGCGTGGGCGTGATCGGGGTCGGCTCGTCCGGGGTGCAGGTGGTGACGGCGATCGCGGACCGGGTGGCCTCGCTGCACGTCTTCATCCGGCGGGCGCAGTACAGCGTGCCGGCCAACGACCGGCCGGTGAGCGCGGCGGAGCGCGCGGCCATCAACGCGGCGTACCCGGCGCTGTGGGCGGAGGTGCGCGCGTCGCACCTGGGGATGGGGTTCGCGGAGTCGTCCCGCAAATTCATGGCCGTGAGCCCGGCGGACCGCGAGCGGATCCTCGAGGCGTCGTGGCGCGAGGGCAACGGGCTGCAGCTCCTGTTCGGCGGGTTCAGCGACCTGACCACCGACGCGGCCGCCAACGAGGAGGTGTGTCGGTTCCTGCGCCGCAAGATCCGCGCCGCGGTGCACGACCCGCGCACCGCCGCCGTGCTGCTGCCCCGCGAGCCCTTCGCGCGCCGCCCGCTCAGCGACGCCGGCTACTACGAGACGTTCAACCGCGACCACGTGCACGCCGTGGACGTGATGGCGCACCCGATCACGCAGGTCGAGGCGCGGGGCCTCCGCACCGCGGACGGCACGCTCTACGAGCTGGACATCCTCGTCGTCGCGACGGGCTTCGACGCCCTGGACGGCAGCTACGCGCGCGTCGAGATCCGCGGCCGCGACCCGGCCGAGGACCTGAACGCGCGGTGGCGGCGCTCCGGGTCCGAGTGCTATCTCGGCTGCGCCGTGTCCGGCTTCCCCAACCTGCTGATCGTCTCCGGGCCCATGGCCGCGTTCGCCAACGTGCCGCCGCTCACCGAGACCAACGTGGACTTCCTGCGGGATCTGATCCGCCGTGCCGAGGAGATCACCCGGCAGAGCGGGAAGCCGTGCGAGATTGAGGCCACGCATGAGGCCGAGAGGTGGTGGACGGACCATTGCGATCTCACCGCGCGCAAGACCCTCTTCGCCCAGACGCCCTCGTGGATGTTCGGGGCCAATGTCCCGGGGAAACGGCCGGCCAGTCGGTTGTATTTCGGTGGGCTGGGCCCGTTTCGCGCGAAGTTGGCCGAGATCAAGGCGAGGGGGTTCCTGGGGTTTGAGGAGCCGTTGGGGACCGGGGGGACGTTGCGGTCGCATCTTTAGTGGTGGTGGTGGTGGTGGTGGTCGTCGTCGTCGTCGTGATCGGGCATGGAATCGGGATAGAGCCTTGCTTACACCTCAGAAGTGTTCGCACGTATATCGACATGAACGTTTCAAACCACTCCAAAGGCTAATGCCTAACAGCTATCTACCTGTATCCAAGTGGGAGATAAGGCAGACTTCAGCCATCCTGCCCTCCCCTGCCGTCTGCATTGACAGCCTAGAACCACCCAGAAACCCTAAGTAGATATCCTCAATCTCCAGAGCAGACCAGCCTCTTTCTGCTGGCAGAGGTGATTTGTTTTTCAAGGAGGTCTTCCGGTTGTGTAGTAGAGATTTGAGGTATGTTTTCTGTAGTGATAGCAAGGAGTGAGCAGTGAGTGGATATTTACCTTGGGAGTGTCCCTCGCTGCACTGAGTAGGGTTCTTTCCTCAAGCACTGGCGGAGCAGAGTAAAATGACAATACTGCGCATTGTCGTTCTGCTTAGGACTTCCGAGCAAGATAGCATCGAGACTTGATCTCATCAGCACGACTACAGAACCTGACTTGACTTAAGAGTTGTGATTGGATTAATGATTCTAGAATATCTAGATACAGTATCATGAATATCATTCCTGCCCCAGTAGGCTACCCACTGAGACCTGAGGCTCTCATAACCATTGCAGTACATGCTATCTATCGATGCATCAGATCTGCGCTTGGAATTAGCTGTAAATGCTGTAACGCACGGCAGTGTATAAAGCAGAGAATGAGAAAAACACCGGTGTAAATCTCTCATCCGAGTGTCTTGTGCTCGTCGACATGTAGTCTTGAGATTCTTGTTTGCGGAATGGATGTAGAATGGATCCACGGCCTCGTGTCACCGTTTCGTGTAGATACATATGTTGATGTCGAAGTAAAAGTTCAAGACGGGTGGTTGCACGGTCATCATTGTGCAGTCACGCTGACCGCATGTCTAACTGCGCTTCGAACCGGTCGGATCCTCATAAACAATCCGAGGAACCACATTGAAGTCAGGCAAGCCCGGGACAACCTCCGGTTCGTCAACCTCCTCCTCATCCTCCTTGGTATCAGCAGGCGCCGAGCTGTCGCTGGACTCGGTCAATTCGAGGGCCGGAGAAGGCGTCCCGCCGGCCTCGTCTTCCACGTGAACCACCGTCGGTTCGTCGTCCGATCCGCTTCCGTCCACCGAGTTCTCCAGACTGCCCGAACTAGGGCTCGGGGTCGCAGCCTCCACCAGCCCGTTCAACGACAGCGACTCATCGTGACTGACGCTGCTGCGCTCCGAGGTCGACAGCGAGCTGCGCGAGTTCGTGTACGACTGAGGCAGCCCCAGCGCGGCCGCCACCGCCGCCTCCTCGTCGGGCAGCTTCGACACGCTGCTGTCGCGACTGGTGCTGCGGTCGAAGATATGGCTCCCGCGCCGCTCGCTCATCTCCAGGATGTTGTTGTACCCGCGGCGGGTGGGGTCGGCCAGACGCTTCTTCTTCTTTTTCTCGCGCTTCGTCGACGGCCGGACCACGATCACGGGAATCGGCGACTGCTGCAGGCAGTACTTGGAGACCGAGCCGGGCAGCAACCCCTGCACACCCCCCAGATTGCGACCCCGGGTGCCCACGATGAGCACGGCCGGCTCGTAGATCCGGATCATGCGTTGGATGATCTCCTGGACCTTGCCCACCGCCAGCTCCAGCACCAGGCTGATGGCCTTCTCGTTCTGGCTGTTCTTCTGGATCACCTGCTCAAACAGCTTCTCCGCCTCCTTCCGGTATTTCCCCGCTTCCACGGCGGCGTCGCTGGCGATGCTCGAGTCCTTCTCGACCGCACGGAGGCAGACGATTTCATCGCCGTCGTCGACGAGCTCGTCGATGAGCCATTCCAGCGCGAAGTCGGAGTAATCGTTCTGGTCGGTCCCGCATAAGAAGGTTCGACTGCGACGGGTGGACTGATAGCCTTTGTGTTTGTAGTTGAGGGTTAAGGAGAAGTCGGCCGCATCCGGGTTATCGAAGGTGTCAAACGACACACCTCGCTCGTAGGTCCTGATATGACATTAGCCAACAGAGATAAGGTAGACACGGACAAAAAAGAATGGTCTTACTGAGGCGGTGGAGGGGACGGCCCACGGCTGGGCGAAGGCTTGATTTCCCGTTCTGTGGAGGTGACGTCGAGCTGCGGGCGCGGTCGGTGACCTGCAGCGCTGACGGATCGACGATGCGGCAGCGGCTCCGTGCCGCCAACGTTGAACTGAATTGACTTTCTCTGGGAACTCTCAGCTCTGTGTGAAGATCGAGGCTTGCTTGTACCAGCGGCTTGGGTGGCGCCGCCCTCGGGGGATTGCGACGACGGGGAGGGCATGCTGGCGGTTGTAGTGGGAGGGACAGCGAAGGGAAGGTGTTAGACGACTCAGCGCCTTGTAGTGGTCGGAATCTCGAGTGAGTAGAAAGGAAAGGAACAATTTGATTCAAAGTCAATAACTAGTCGGTGGCTCAGCCACCGTGAAGCTCAGCAAGTTCGGCGAGTGGTACGATGCGGGAGATGCCGACCATGGTTTGGTAAGAGAGGTCGTGACGAAGGGGGAAACTCCCGAGCAAGTGTCTGAGACCGGCACGCTCGAGGATGAGAGGATGAGAGAATGAGATGGACCAAAGCGGGTCTCAGGGCTAGCTTGAAGCTACAGTGAGTGACTCTGCAGAAAAGCAAAGCGCCGGATTGAATTAAAGTAGAGTGACAGGCAGCAAGCCGGAAGCAGCTGGAGGGGAAAGGGACGAAAGGCGAGAGTGGAATAGGAGCTGAGGAGGCGGGGCAGATGGAAGGCGGTCAGGAGGAGCATGGCCGGCGGGTCACGTTTCCCTGCTGTCATTCCCTGCCCAGTCAGTGAGTGAGTGAGTGAACATGCGGAACAAAACTCCTGCCACGCGGAGACTTCAACTTCACATTTAGCAATTCCCCGGTCGACGCCCAGTGACAGACCACCATTGCAACCCCGTGATCCCTTGATACAACCACAATACAATGACCATCTTCTCTCGCTCTCTATGACTAAAGGAGCAAAAGAGCCGAGTTGGAGAAGTAGGAGGGGCATAGCTAGTCCAATCCAAGTCAAACCAACTATATCTTTCCGGTCCATGTAAGCGCAACAAGTTGTTACCCTCAGCTTGGCCAGCCGGTCTGGAACATATAGTGCCAGCGGAGACTACGGTGCGCCATTGCGGCCTGAATCCAGACTCAGTATGTTTTGGCAGGATTTTTTTTTTTTTTTACGAAAGAACGACTCGAATGAGGGCCTAGATGGAGTAGAAGAACTCCCAGTTCGACCAACTCTAATAGTTCCAATGGCAGCAAAACCGGATCTAAAGACGGTGAGGGATTACTCGGCCTTGACTTGATCCATCGATCGTTTTTCTAGCAAAGCAAGGAAGAAGATCAATCAGATTCCGGATTCCAGGAACCCAGACCAGGCGGGTGACAGGGACAGGCGGAAGACGGAAGACGGAATCGAGTCGGTTCAACAGTCAGTCAGTCAGGGAAAAAGAACCAGAGAGATCGGCGGTGATCCTCCGTGCGGATCGATCGCCCGTCAGCCATGTGATCCGTCACGGGGCGGTGAACTCGGCCTGGATTGGCGAGGGCCGCGATCGGCACTGCCATCCCGGTCTAGCCAGCAGTCAGCTAGCAGCCAGCTGCCCAACTAGCCTCCCGGATGGGGCTAAGAAGCGGAGTCAAGTCTTCTTCTGCACCTGCGACTAGTCTAGCGATTTAGTGAGTATTAAGTCGGTTTACTGATCACTTCGTGATCGCTTTGCCAATGCTTGACACATCAAAGCAATGATTACCGGTCAAGGATGAGTACGAGAATTTAGATTGGAGGAGTTCATGTATAATGTTGATGTGATTATGTTCTATATATGCAATTTCATCATCTCGTCTCATATACCGGAGAGGCCACCGTAATAGATCATGTCGTGGAATACATAAACAAGAAAAATGGGGCCGCCAATATATGCGGCCCAACGGTGGGACCAGGAAGAAGACAGAGATGGGACCCGAAGATGTGGGCGGGTATGAGAAGAGAGAAATCAATGCCCAAGCGCTCGGGCATGCAAAAACAAAAAGAAGGGGGACTCCACCCCCAATGCCAATATGCCATCCCAAAACAATGCTGAATCATGATGATAGGAGAGAAGTAATTTTTGGTTTCAGAAAAACGCCGGACCCGCTATGGTGGTGACAACTTGCCCCAAGACAAAATAAGAAAAAGGTTCTTCCAGAAACAATCCACGACGAGGGTATCACGTATGATAATGGTACAGAGAATGGAGGATCAGCCGCTGCTGCAAGGTACGATCTCAATAAGCTTCAAGCATCGCACTTGGCGCTTGGCCGGGAACGTAGTAGCCATTCTCCAGACCAGTCGGGGAGAGAGGGATTTCCGCGGTTTGCGGCTCCTTCTCGTTAAATGTTTCCAGGGTTGGTTGAGGAGGTGAAGGGGGCATGGTGTCGTCTTCCGACTCTCCATCCGAGTCGGACAGCAGCTCGGGCGGGGTTTGTCGGGACGGCGAGCGGGTCAGGGTCAATTCTTCCAGATCCTCCTCATCGTCGTACTCAAAGTCGGAATCAGAATCGGAGTCGTAATCCTCCTCGATTTCTTTCTCGGTGATGATGGCCACCGGGGAGGGAGCCCGTCGTCGCACCGGACTGTAGGTAGTGGGCTCATACTGGTCTTCGTCGTAGTCGGAGTCATCCTCGCTGACGTCGGAGTCGGCGTCAGAAAGGTCCTCGGGATCCCAGTCCTCCTCCGGGTCCTCAACGACAGTCTCCGCCCATTGGATGTGTCGAGGCTCGGAGTGGTGGGAGGTCTTGGTCACACCGCTGACGGTCTGGTTGAACCAATGTTCTTGTTCACGTTCGGCATCAGCCAGCTCCAGCATGAGCGAATCGAGGAGGTTGGCGTGGCCAACCAGAAGGCGGAGATCATGGTCCGCCCGGGAAGCTTCACGGGTGAGCTTCTTGCGGGCGGTGTGGGCGAGATAGTAGGTTTGAGTGATGCTCATTTTCTTTTGTTGGCGACGGCGGGCCAGAGAGGTGAAGTAGGAGCTGAGAGACGGAGTGGAGGAGGGAAGAGAGGAGGAAGAGGGAGGGTGGGAGGAGGGAGTAGAAGTAGAAATTGTGGGGGAAGCAGGAGTTGCCATGGCGCAAATCTCCGGGAGGGCCGTGTTGATGTGCTTGCTAAGGATGCTAGTAAGGATCGCCGAACTTAGAGGCTTAGATGTGACTCGTTCGCTTTGCGCGGCGCGGTGACTCAGGCTGCCTTTCCTCCTTCCGGCAGTCGACCTATCGACCAATCAACCTTATGGCGGATGGCGGGGCGGTGAGTCAAGGGTCGCTGGTATCGCTGGTATCGCTGCAGGCGGATCAATAATGGATCGCAGCGGCGCCTTATCTTTCAGTCTAGTGCGTTTGCGACTGATGCAGTGTGCAGACGCAGACAACGGTGAAAAATACTGATGTCTGAGTGTTGTCGAGCTGGTAGGGGTTCCTGGCGTCCCAATGTCTCCACTAACAATCATGCACTTTCAATAGTCACACAGTAGTGGCCGGCGGGGAAAGGTGGTGGATGGATGTGTTGGTGGTGCGGGATGTATGTGTATGTCGTGATGGTTGCGGTCTGAGGTGGACAAGCGAACAGGCGAGGATTATTAGCTATGTGTTGTGATTGATGAAAAAGAGAAGAAAAAGAACATTTCAAGATGTACCAGGGAGATAGGGATTGTTTATGATATATCCACTTTCTAGGCTGATTCTTTTTTTTTTCTTTTCGGTGCTTGTCATCCGCTATTTCCAATCCCCGTTTCTTACTTCCTTTTTTTTCTTCCTTTTTTTTTTATTACTCATTACTCTGCTCGTACTCCATCTAAAGTCCGAAAGGCGCGATCGGACGCTCGGCGACAGACCATCCGTGGATCGGAAACTCCGTCAAGGAAAGCCGGATCCACCATCGAAATTCTGCCCTGCATCCAAAATCCCTGCCCAAGAGGGCAATTGCTATCCTCACCGCCCATCAACGAGACCAATAGTTGCCGCAAGCCAGTGACTCACGTCTGCGGTGGGCGGCGCCGCCTGCTTATTCCCGTTCTGGGCGATCCCAGCCTAGCAGCAGCACCAAAACCCTGATCGGGTTTCCGATGACCAATCTTTCCGCGCCGTGGTCTCCGGCTGAGCAAGTGAAAGAGAGAAAAAAAAAAAAAAGGCTCCCCAAGCTAGAAAATTCCAGCAGGTGCCCAGCACACCTGCCCTAGCAAGATTACGATTACTCAACGATTGTCTGCATTAGAAATCCTGACTGCAAACACCATCATTATTCATCATCTTCACTCTTTTGGCATCTTCGCGCGCCAAGTGTCAAATCTTAATATTTCCACGGTTGATGATCAGTCCAGGGCACCCAGCTGGGCTTGAATCCTTTTATTAATGCTCTTATACTCTGTACAAGGAGAGGGTATACAAGATTTGAGGTACACCATCCCCCTCACTGCTAATTGACTCTTTGACCCTTTTGATTCATAATGGAATTGATTCCTAAGCTCCTACCTAACACATTATTTTTTTGGTCCCCTAACATACGAGTACCCAGCCTCACGATAGTAGTTGACCCCTAGTTGGGTTTTTGCGGACGGGATCCGTGACCCGTCACAAATGAGTTCCCCACCCGACTCAAAAACTTTTTCTTCTTCTGCCGGGCGCAGAAAAGGAATCTGAGGTGCGGTACGGAGTAGCCTATCCGAATAGCCTCTTCGATCCCCAATCCCGTTTGTTCAGCCTCCCAGGGTTCTCACGATGAGTAATCCCTGATAAACAAAAGCCGAACTGCTATCCAACTCCGTCCGTCCATGCACCCCTGTAACTGTACAGCAAGCACCCTTTGGGACATGGTTGCGAGAAGGAGTTATGACCGAAAACGGATGGGTAAGCAAGCCCACGGGCAGTAAGTCTCGCTCGGTCGGGTTTAGAGAATTGTGAGTTGCAAGATGCTGCCCCTGCGGGGTTCAAACACAACAGAGCAGCAGCAGCAGCAGCAGCAGCAGCAGCAGCACAGCACAACACAACACAACACAACAATCAATGCAATTCATATGCGAATACGACGGGTCCCACCCCCCATCGGGATCCCATCTCCTGCCGTAATTCCGTTTCTGTCTGCCTTATTTTGGCCCCTGCCCTAATCACATACTATACTCGCTCGTATACCCACTATCTAGTTACTCGTGTCTTGCACATAATTTATCAACTATGCGGAGATAAGGCAATCCAAATTCCTTTCCTTTTCTTGTCTAATGCCTATTACCCATACGCATCTACAATCCGTCCACGTAGGTCATTTCCCACATCCTTATCATTCGTCACAGAGGTCTGTAAGTAGAAAAGGCACCCAATGGAATTCCTCACCGGCTGCCACATGTTAAAAGACCGTCACTCACGCCTTAATCTTTGTTGAAAGGCAAAGACCCCGAGGACCATCATCGCTTAGGCGTCATCCGCCATCCCCTTCTTGGCTTTGTGCGGCTCTTCCCCCCCCCTCATTCCTGTCTACCTCTCCGCAAGCAACCAGCCTATGCTATGCTTGGCAGGTCAAGATCGCCCGCAAGCGAGGTATAGGCACGCCACGCCATCGCGCATTCTTGAGGCGAGACAACTGGGCCTTGCGAATGCGGAGTAGACTGGTCTTGTCTAGCAAGAATAGTGTTGACTAGTACGTACCTTGGGTGAAGGATAGACAGAGCTGGGGCTGGAGCTGGAGTACGTACGACGTGACTCCGGGTAGGGATTGATCGTCCCTTGGGGGCCACTACTGTACGGAGTAACTAGTTATCTCCTCCCTCGACAAAACGTGTCGTCCGCTTGGCAACGACTCAACGACCAAGCCCCTCCGTGTAGGCAGCGAAAATCCCCCTGGTTTGCTTTACATGACTGTGCAGGGTCAAAGTTACCTAGCTGGCCGGTTAGTAGTAAGTTAGAGGCGGGCCTGAATAACATGTAGCCCGCGCTAAGTGGCTGTCTCGCGTGTATCGTGGGCTGTAGAGGCTCTGACCTGAGTCTGACAACGGAAATCGCCGAGTACGCGACCTGAGCGGGAATGATGAGGCTCTCTCGTGAGAATGGTGAGATTGGCGAGGATGATGACTCGAAAGGCCATGTGTTGCTGTGGCTATTGGAACTGAATCAATAGTCGATAATCTGATGATCTATCGTCTATCTGAAACTCCCCCCTAGCTGGCACAGCACAGCCCCTCGAAAAGGAAGTGGAGCAAAGTGCGGAGAAAGATAGGCGGACGGATTTCCGGGACTAATCCTACCTTGGCTGCTGCCCATCGGTCATGTGACAGAGGTGCCACCATGTCGGCGTGTCGGAGATAACAGATCTCCATTGGCGTCCACCACAGAAAGGCTATCTTGCCTGGCGAGAGCAGCCTCGATCAGGGCATCTGGAACAACAATGATGCCCATGATGAGGTCAATGACGAGGGGAACTGTAAACAGTCTCCGCCGCGCCGCCCTCCTTCCTCGTCATCATCATTCGCCATCGCCATCACATTGCTGGAGTCCACACGTCCACACATTCTAACGATCATTTGATCATCCATGATCATCGCAGCCCACTGCGGCAGAATGGATTCTTCAGACCATACGCAGAGCAACGAAAAAGAGTCTGGAGCGGGCAGCAACTCCATTCATAGTGGGGAAATGACATGGGGGGGGGGGGGGGGGGGGGGGGGTCTTGCATAATCGCAAGAAAACGAACAACAACCTAATTTCAAGCTACGAGTATCAACCACCCAAAATGACAAATCGTTCTAGACCAGAACATACCCAAAAACCACAACACCGCACTTAGACGCTGACAAAAACCGACGATCGGGATCCCCCCCCCCAAACCTTAACTCTCTAATTTAATACCACACATCACCGACCATCGGGACTACTGAGTAGCTGGTTCCAAGCTGCAAACGTCAATCCATCATCACAGTTTCGGATCTGGACGGATTCAGCAATTGACATCTTACATTTCTACCGGCAGGCTTATCACCACGCGAAGCGAAGGCAAAACAAACATCCCAATAATGACACTCCACATCAGCAGGAGCAGATTTGCCTCCCAGCGAATGCAATGCAATACGTCGACGATTTCGTGATCGTCACTGATAAGGACAGGCAGCAGCCCTCGGTAGACTTTGACGTACGGGTAGTAGTGTTGATTGACGATAGTTAGACGAGACCACTAACATCATCATACCTCACACCTCCCAAGATTGTTGTCCTACCTCATGAACCGCGATCATCCTGACGATCCCACCTGAAAGGTCAATACTTTGGGGGGATTGGTGGTTGTACACAAATAAACAGTTGGGACTTGCTGCTGTGTAAGCTGCAAGTCAGTCCGTAAGGTCAGTCCTTGACGTCAACGACCTGACCCTTGGGCCTTCCCTCCCTCGCCGGGCTGCTTGACCTCATCTTCGGGATACGGGTGATTACCGTACAGGGGGTGAGCGATCATGACCCGAGATCCGGAGCTACAGTACAGTAAGGGTACTTTAGCAGTCGGTGACATCATCGCTCTTCTCCATTGCATGTGGTGAACAGCGGGGTGTACACTGCAGAATAGGAGATGGGAACAACAAGCGAGTCTAGACGTCAGTCACACGGTTCCCTCTTCATCAGCCACCCCACCATCAACACCTCCACCAAAATCCAGCAACTAGAGTAAACCCACCGGGTGACCTACTGTGTAGCTTACAGCCCACACAATCCAACTGCACATCCAGCATGACCTGAAAGCATCCGGGGAGATCCGCCTCCCCGCACAGAAGCAGAGCCTACACAAAAACAAGCATAAAACATAAGCACAGCACAGCACAGCACAACTAATTCCCCCCAAAGAACGGAGCCAATGTCAAACCGCGGAACAAACTCGGCCTTCTCGCTCTCCGACCTTCCGCCCACCCCACACCCTTTCAAAAGTGGCCCCAGCCCGGCCTCAGGTATCTAGAAAACAGTGAACGTGAACCCCTAAAAGTTCTGGCGCGGGTTCACGGAACCGCGCAAATCCGTAAACCCCGTCTAGCCTAACTAGCACTACCAATACCGTATTCATATCTAGCCCACTGGGGGGGCCCAAGTAGGCTACCCGTTGTACCCGTGCGTGCCGGATTCCGGAACATCAGCCTTCCTCACCTCGCTATCCACACATCTGCATCTGCATCCTGCCCCCCGATTCCCCATGTGAGGGCTATCGACGGATACACGGATACACGGATGAGAAAGGAGGGTCTTGGCGTTGGCATGTGGAGGTTTCATATGGTACAGTACACCCACCACACTGCGCATACTGGAGGAGTACTTTTACCCTGAGGGGGTTTGAGGGGTTTGATTCTGCCGGTTTTATTCTTGTCAGACTTTGTTTCTTCGAATCGCCTATAGCCTAACTTATAAAGTATGAGTCACTTTAAGGTTTTGTTCAGGGAAGTACTCCGTAGTTACCTAGTGGGTGGTCAATCTTCTGAGTATTCCTGTTTGAATCTAGTTGGATCAATGAAATCGTAGACAAAGAAGGAAATGCTCAAGGTACTGTACCTATGCTCCGGTCGGAGTCACGCCAGGGGGGGTGGGCAGGGTGTTTCAGGCCGATTCATCTCCGGTTGGAGTTGAGGGTCTCTGGATCTTGACTCTGTTTCTCAGTGGTAGGAGTAATGAACTAGACTATACTATCCTGGGCTATACTTTACTGACTACAGCTTTGTTGGCTATCGGGCTATCTGACTGCCAAATGCTCGTCTATAAATGCTGCGAGCATGCTATTGCAAATTCAATGTGTGCTATACTGTACTTTTGTTGATGTTTTCTCTGTATCGTGTATAATTCCAAAGGGGTGTGCTAGGAGCACTTAGCTTATGCATATCTTGTGCGATGAATGTGTGGAGGAGGGGAGGCCATTGGGTATTTCCTGGAGGGTGAAAACTTACTCGATGCCCTTCGCTGTGCGTGGCACGCTGATGCGGACTGACAGCTGACGATCCGGGGTCCATGCTTGGTCTACTGATTGGGTGGTTGCCTTTGTTCTACGGCATTTGTTGCAATGGGGTTTATGCTGGAAGCATGTGACTGTGCTGTACCTTAACCACTGCTGTGCATCTCTACGGAGTGCCTTTTCTTTTCTGCTCTGTTCACTTTACAGTTCCCAATGTACAGTACACACCACCACCACCACCACCACCACCATCTCCACTCCGCATAAATTGCAGTCCACTATTCACATTCACATTGATGTTCATGTTCATGTTCACATAAAGTTCATATCCACACAACAAAGCCAACCCAACCAACCACAGACCAACCCCTGAATTCCCAACAACAACCTGAAGCAAGCTCAATCCCCCCCACCAAACAGACTCCCCCAATCCTCCCCCTTCTTCCGCATCCAGCGCATCCACCACCACCACGGCTCCGACGCCTCCAGCTCCCCCTCTCCGTCTCCCCCCCCCGAAACCTCACACGGCAACAGAATCGCATGGTCCAACGCATGCGGCAGCCCCCGATGCCGCCCGCGCACCTGCATGGCGATGACGATCGCCTTCGCGGGGCCCGAGAACTGGCCGCACAGGCTCGTGTCCGCGCCCGGGTAGCCCAACGACAGGCCCACGGTGCCGTAGGCGGAGACGATCTCGAACAGGATGGGGAACAGCGCGAACGCGTCGCGGTCGTCCGCCTCGCGCGCCTGCAGCCGGGGGCCCTCGGCCACGGCGATCAGGAAGAAGCCAAGCATCACGTACCAGAGGTCGAAGCCCAGCTGGCGCTGGATGTGGGCGGCCAGCGAGTCCGCCGAGGGGTGGGCGGGCTGTGCGTCCGAGGCGGATGAGAGGGTGTCGTCGTTGTAGAAAATGCCGAGGCTGCGTTCTTCGTAGACGTTGGTCTTGCGGATGGCGATCGCGTTCGGGAAGGCCGAGATGTACATCATCACCAGGAAGGAGACCTGCGTGGCCGGGTGCAGGGCCGTCAGCGGGGTGATGCTGAAGCCGGCGGTGCGGGTCGAGGCGATTTGGAAGAGGCCGTTGACTAGCCGGAGGCCCGGGGTGATGGTGGGGTTTTGCGGGGTCTGTGTTTAGACGGTTATCAATGGTTACTTTTGGGGGGGGGGGGGGGGGTGATCAACTAAGGGTGGAGGAGGCAGCGACTTACCTCTTGGAGGGTGTAGAAGATGAGCAGGTCGATCGCGTTGAGCAGCAGGAGAACGGCCGACAGTCGCCAGGTCTCCGCGCTGGGGAACAGCAGCGTGAAGCACCGCCGCGGGTGCTCCAGCAGGTACTCCAGCTCGTCGTCCAGCGGGGACCCGTACGTGGTGAACTGCGAAAGCGTCCAGATGATGCAGCGGAGCATGCATGGGAAGCCCGTGTTGCCGATGACCACGAGGAAGGTCATCACGAGGAGGGGGAACGCCGCGGTCTGGAACGCATCCATCGAGTCCGGCGTCAGGGTGAACCCCAGGTCGTTGAAGGCCGACCCGGCCGTGAAGATCGCCCACCACGGCCGGCTGATGCCCGCGTCCGCGAGCACCTGGCTGTACTGGCGGTTCGGCAGCACCCACAGCAGGAACAGCACGATCCCCAGCGCATGGAACACCACGAAGTAGCACACGAGGATGACGAACAGCGTCTTCAGCGCACGGTACTCGATCCCGCCCAGCTCCTCCTTCTGCGCCTCGTCCCAGTCCGCGTAGCTGGCGATCGACGACTGCCACAGCAGCGCCGGCAGGGCGTCGAGATCGTGGCACGACCGTTGGACCACGGGCGAGTCATACTCCGACAGCGAGCGCCGCGAGCGCGTCCCGGACATCGACCGCCGATGGTGGTGTTTGATCTCATACTCGGCCTCCGAGTAACAGAAGGTGATGTGCGGACTCGTTGATCCCGCCGCCGCAGCGCCATACCTCCGGCCGGAGGAGTAACCGATCAAGTCGGAGGTTCGGTCCTCGCCATCGACCACCTCTAACAGCGGTCGCTCCTCGGCGGGTCTCTCAGCCGAAATCGTTCGAGGAACAGGAGGAGGAGGAGGAGGAGGAGGAGGAGGAGGAGGAGGAGGGAGAGGCCGGTTCTCGATCCCTCCTTCCAGCAGCAGGCCTTGGTTCCATTTGTTCCGCTGCTTGCGGCATAGCACTTTGGCCTCATGGATAACGCCGCGGAACCGCTTGCGGAACCAGTAGAGCCGAATCACGACGAGCAGCGAGTTGATGAAGATCACATTAGTCACCATCGACACCCCCCAGAGGGTGACCTGCTGGACCACATGCAGTCGGTTGAGGTCGATAGAGTTCAGCCCCGTCTGGGTGGCTGCACCGGAGGCGAGAAGCAAGGCATCCAGGTACGACAGCCCTCCGGCCAGATAGAGAACCAGCGACGACACCAGCGCCCAGACAATGATATAGATATAGTGATGGTAGCGCCGCAGGGGTGACTTGGACGGCTCGTGGGTGAGAGGCATGCGGTTTGGGAATGTTCTATAAGCCGATGAGGAAAACCCGGTATCTGTCGTCGATGGGAAAGAAAAAAAATAATGGCGGAGCCAAAAAGAGGTGAAAAAGCTGTTCTTCCCAAAAGACACGGGGAATTAAATACCTCCATTTAAAAAAGGCTCTCGTCTCCTTGCGTAGATTCGGGGGGAGGGAGTGGCTAGCAAGAGCCCACAAATGCCTCACACAAATGCATGCTGGATTTGGGATGATCGGATCGACTGTGATGATTCCTACTACACCAGAGAAAGAATAAGGTATCAAGGAGCTCCTAGGTAGCTATACTTGCTCCCAATCAAGCTTGGGCCAGTCCCACACTTTATAGCTGACTGGTTTTGACATCTACCGTCGGATTGCTGGGGGAAGTGGGTTATCTTCCAAGGGGGAGGAAAGGGGAGCTTGCAGATTTTGCCATCCCGGTGTGAGGTTGCACCGCAGAAAGCCGGGAGGAAGCAGCATTCACCCTCTTCAAGTTGCAAAAATTGGTTGGAATTAATCGCTCATAGTGATTTGAAGCTTGGCACGCAACCACTGACGCACGGTCCATCGGTTGGCTAACTTTAAAAAACCTTCTTTGGGTTTCTTCTTCAGCGTTGAAGAAACCGGATCGGCGTCTCACAATTGGCCGGGAATCATTCCTCGAATTGGGGACAAAACTTGCTTGGGGGTTCCAGGGCTGGTGTGACTGTTGCAGGAACCAGGGGCCGGCCGAATCGGTGAGAAAGTCGGTGGCATATGCGTGTCTGCGCCATCCTCAGACCTGTCAGGTGTGGGTGCGACCACGGAATTGGTTGTGTGGCTTGCACTTGAGCATCAGGCTGTCAGGTTATAAAGTGAGGTTGTAGTCGGGATGACCTCCTCCACTCTCCAGAAAGAGGGGGGGTGCTGTTGCCTGAGGCAGAATTACACAAGCCCTTCGATAACTGTCATTTGACCTACTTGAGCTGTCTTGGTTGAATGCCATCAATTGCACCTGAGAAAGTAGAAGGCTACCAAGATTAAGGCTTACGAGTGAGAAAGCGTATTGCAAACACCAGCATCATCCAAGACAAGATATGTATTGCGGACCTGAATCAAGGTAGACCACCCTAATCCAGCCGACTGTTTTTAAAAAATTATAGATAAGAAGAAGATTAAAACAACTCTTTCCGTGCAGCCCGTCTCTGCACCCCCGATCCTTCCACTGTCGTCGCATCAAATCTAGCAAGACACACCGGAGGGCAAGTTCTCGCACTTGCTGCTGGTCTTTCCACCGGTGACATCAACGCCGCTCCAGGTGAAGTCAGTGCAGCTGCCGTCGCCGCAGAGGATGTAGATCTCGGTGGCATCGCTCTCAACGCTACCGGTGACCTTCTCCATCTTGACGCCGGAGATCTTGACGCCGTCGGTGGGCTTACCGGTGGGGCTGCCGTTCTCGTAGTCCTGCTCGATGACGATACCATAGTCGGTGATGTCGGAGATCTTGATGTTGGAGAAGGTGATGTCCTCGACCTCACCGGTGGCGTCGTAGACGGTCTTGATGCGGACGCCGTTCTCGGAGTCGGTGACGGTCGAGTCGATGAAGGTGACGTTCTTGACAGTGTTGTCGTCACGGCCGCCGACGGAGCCGATGGAGAGACCGTGGCCGCCGGAGCAAGTACCGCCGGAGAAGTAGATGTTCTGCGAGGAGAAAAGGATTAATACCAGCGATCAAGTGGATCGGTCGGAGTTCGTTGTGGCTTGAGATCCTCTCCCCAACACCATCTGTGGGAAACACATACCTCGCCCGAGTTGATAGCGACACAGTCGTCCTGGTTCTTGACGGTGGCACCGGTGATGGTGATGTAGGTACTCTCGCTGATGTCGAAACCGTCGGTGTTGTGACCGCCGTTGTCGTCACCGTCGCTGTTGTCGATGGTCACGTCCTCGATGGTGAGGTAGTCCGACTCGACGGAGATGGCCTGGACGGGGGTGTTCTTGATCTGCAGGCCCTTGATGACCGAGTTGTCCAGGGAGTGGGCGTAGAAGAACTTGGGCTTGGTCTTGCCGCCGTTGGTGCCCTCGCCGTCCCACCACTTGGCACCGTTGCCGTCGAGGACCGCTCCGGAAGACTGGGTGACGGTGATGTCCTTGCCGGAGATGTACAGGAGGGGTCCATCCCACTCCTCGTACTCCCAGGTAGTAGTGCCCTCGAAGGTGACCTGGATTGGACATGGACTTGTCAGTATGCGGTTCGATGGGAAGCACACTGGAAGGTGTGCAATCGAGAGATACTGGGGTTGAGGCAGGAACTTACGGTGGTACCACTCTTCAGGTCCTTGAGGTTGAGCATCTCACCAGCAGGAACGGTGATGTCCTTGAGGACGATGTCCGTGCAGGAAGTCTTGCTCTCGGAGGCCTGGGCAGCCGAGGTGAAGGTGCAGGTGGAGCGCTTGGCGAACTCCGAGGCACGGGTGGCAGGGGCAGCAGACACCAAGGCAGTGGCCAGGGTGGCAGCGCAAAGCAGGGAAGACTGGATGGAAGGCATGGTGAGAGGTATTTTATCTGATCAACAGAGTAAGTTCAAAGAGAGACTGTTCTGATCTACAGAACGGAGACAACGAGAGAGAGACAAAGAGAAGAATGAAGAAGGAATGATTGGCTTGGATGAAGAAGAAAACAGCCGAGACAGCAGGGCGACGGAGCCCTTTTATAAGTTGCAAGAACTTCTTGGTGGATTCTGAGGTTATCTGAGGTTATCCATTTCGTCCCTGAAGGTTCCCTGGGGGGCAACCCGGCGAGGCTTGAATGGGCAGGCATTGCTAATTACTATCAATCTGTAACGGGCTAGTCCCAACTCAGAGCGCTAAGTCGAGTGGGCCAACGCGGCATTTTCTTAATTGAACTTGGCTTTTAGTCGTGGGGGCATCGGCCATCCCTATGCGTCAGCTTCATCAAATGCAGCCACTCAATTCGTCTACTTCTGATCTGAAAGAAACTGTGTCAGCTATGCAAATGTTCACAGTTGACGAGAGTGAGAGAGAAAGGAAAGCCAGTGATCACTGATCCTCGCATGTTCCAGGCGGGAGAGAGATGGCTATGATGATCCGGCAGCCACAAGCGAAGCAACGGAAACCGACCAGAGGTTCTGTTCTTCCCTTTCGACCCACCGCAGTGGAAAACAATCAGGGGAAGGTGCTCTTCCTCGTCGAAGCTTTTGGCGAAGCAATCACGAAACACCCCAGCAATTTCCGTCGCAGGACCCTCTTTCAAACCGAGCCCCCGGCAACGGAGACTAGACCGGAATAACACAAGCCCTACACAATCCGTTGGGAACTTCGTATAGCAATAATAGATTGATGTCGGCAACCCAGACCCCCGAGGACGAATAGCTCCGCTGATCCATGCCGATTACGAGGTCTGATTTCTCCACTGATCAATATTCTCAAGAGCCACCCGTAGCGAAAGCAATATCGATTTCATTTCGTTCGGCAAACCTCAACAGGGAGCAATCTACTCGCGCCTTGAAGAAAGGCACGCCAATGAGATCTGTCATAGGGAGCACCATCCTGACCCATCGGGTTTCATTTGACTCGCCGCTGGAAAACTCCTGGCTGAACTTCCCACAACCCCCGGTCCAATGACAGGTCAGCTACAGCCCCTCCATGATAAAATTCCAGCCCAAGTTTGGACCCTGGAATTAATGCAGGAACGGTGCAGGGGGAAACGGTGGCTCTCGACCCATCCCGGCTTGCCGACCAGACCACAGATGCTCTCGTCTCGAGGATCGCAATCAATATCAAGTCGACGGATTCGAGTAGACGCGTCGAGAGATATAATACTGCTTCTTATGCATACAAACCAGCGAGTCACCTATGTGCCGTGGCCCGTGGAGTATCAAGTCACCGACCGGTCCACTGCGAGATGAATCATTCGAGCGGATATCACGGCTTCAACGGAGGGATTCACTCAGTACCAAGGTATTCGGTAGGTCGTGGACCGGTTCGGGGGAGATCAACTTCATGCCCCATCCCTGACCCCACGCAAAGCTTGGAGATTGCTTGATTGTGCTCTGCCCCAATCACGTCGGCTCGCCGGTCTCACCACCGTTGATCTTGTCTCAAAGATAACCCTCTCCACCGAGAGAGCGGTGAATGTGATTGAGAATAATAAAACCTCGAATATACCTACTCGATACAGAGGGTAACGTGATGCAGGGATTTATCCAAGCACGCCAGATGCGTGGATCACTTTCGGCTTAACGTCGGCTGTTCTGATGGTCATCAAAACATGCTAAGCATCCAGCGAACAGGATTAAGGTAAAACACGCCACAAACTCCTCCAGGCTTGAAGAAGAATGACTTCTACGTAGCATGCATGATTGCGAAACTGGGTAGGGGTGAAGTAGTTGTAGCATAAACGGCCGGGTATACGTACCACATTCCCCACACTACCCCCAAAAGCAGCACTAGTATCTCCGAACATCGGCCCTGCTAACCAGTCAGCACTCGGCCTTAAGGGGTCCTACCCCCGACACATGACCATTTCGGGCTGGTTGAGTTTCATGTCGATTGCCGGGCAGACAGTGGAGTGCCAGGGAAGTTCTAGAATTGCTGACGATTCACATAGGAGGTCTTGGGAACTTCCCAAGCACAATGGACACTGGCAACTCCGGGATTTGGAGTATATAAACACGTCATACTACTACACTTGTTACCTCAACTGCTCTTCCCACTTTCCCTTCCTCCCAAGCAACGTCTTTTCTTTTCCCTTTCTCTTGGTAGAAAACAGTTATATGCGTGCGCCCCAGCAGAACAACCATATATTCAAGAAAATTTCACCGCTAGCCCAACAACACCCAGGTCCGCTCTCTCATTCCAAAGCTCAAATCAGCACACCATCATCAAAGCATCAAGCCCACCTTCATCTTCAAGCAGCACAAATAGTCCCATTTACCAACCTACAACCCCCCAACCCAAGAAAAATCAAGCAAACCCAAACCACTCCATATCCCTCTCCCCATGAATCGGCACCGTGTGCCCGACCCCAGTAGCAAAGATGCCCTGCAACCCCGGTCCCCACACCGTGGTCTCATAGTTCGCCTCGGGGGTACTCGGCTCCGTCGCCTGGGGCGCGTCGTAGGTATACCCCCAGACGCCGGCCCACTGCTTGACGGTCTCGTAGTAATTCTGCGGGTAGAGGGTGGTGTCGACGCTGCCGTGGTAGATCTGCATGCGGGGGCGGACGCCGGCGTACGCGGGGTCCATGGCCTCGGCGATGCTGGCCCAGTGCGCCGGGGTGGTGATCGACTCGCCCAGGGCGCAGGTGCTGTTCCACGCGTCGACCTGGTGGGTGGCGCTGAAGAAGCAGCCGGCGGGCACGCCGGAGTAGACGGTTGCGGCGGCGAAGAGGTTGGGGTAGGTGGCTGCCATTACGTTCTGGGTCATCGTCGTTATCATTAGTGATGGTCTTGCGGTGGGTGGCGGGGGG